TATGATGTGCTTAGATAACAGTCGTGCTATAAAACTCTGAGTGTTGATTAGATCCAGATTTTAGGATGCTTGATTTTTATCTTCTTTGAATCTGTTTAGTTCTGGAGTCATATGAAACAACTTCAGTTCTTTCTGTCTTATCTGTGCCATTACAATGTACCTTACTTTTTACTTGCATCATAGTGTTTCTGTAACACTCACCAGTCTTAACTCAAAACAAGCTTTCTTGTGTTTGAAAATAGGTCACTTTAACTGTATTTCCCTTTGGGTATGTTAAAAACTATCAGCCTGTGTGGCTCAGTGGTTGAGCATCAATCTATGAGCCAGGCGGTCACAGTTCCATTGCAAGTCAGGGCACATGCCCTGGTTGGGGGCTCAATCCCCAATAAGAGGCATGCAGGAAGCAGCCAATCGATAATTCTTTCTCATCATTGATGTTTCTATCTCTCCCTCTCCCTTCCTCTCTCTGAAATCAATAAAAACTATTAGTCAATCTTAGAAAAATAAAACAAGAAACCATTGACCCACCTCCACCCCACCCCCCAGGCCTTCACCACACTATTGTCTGGGTCCATGGATTATGCATATATGCATGTACGTTTTTTGGTCAGTCTCTCCCCACCCCCAAACCCCCATTAGTTAGAATCAACCCAGTGGCTCCTTCACTTTTTGCTGCTTTAACTGCCCTTTTCAGTTCCCTCTTGATCTGTCATTTACCCAAACCTTCCCTGAATGCCGGCAAAGGTCTGTGTTGACAGCGAAGGGGGACACAGAGATGCGAGACCTGGTCCCTGCCGTCCATCAGACCCTGGAAAAGGGCCTGGGTTGGAAGGCTTTCCAATATTTCTTCAATACCTAGTCTTATGCTTGACAGATAAAACATTTTTAAATGGACTATATGTTATTGAGATAATTGACTTAAAAGATGCTCTAGCTGATTTGGCTCAGAGGATAGAGTGTCGGCCTGTGGACTGAAGGGTCCTGGGTTGGGCTTGATCCCCAGTTCAGGGAGTGTGGGAGGCAGCTGATCAATGATTCTCTCTCATCATTGATGTTTCTGTCTCTCCCTCTCCCTCTCTAAAATCAATAAAAATATATATTTTTTAGAAAGTTAAAAGATGGTTTAAATGACATTTGATGTCAAGATATGTATGTATAAAAAGTAGTTATGTGTACTATCAAAAACATAGTACACCCAATCATTGTAATTGGTTGTGAATGAAGAGATCATTTTTAAGTTAATGGTTTTGGACACACACCCCCAATGCCCTCAGGGGTGCGTTTCACTGAGATATAAAAATGCTGCCACTGATTGTTTTTAAAGAAACTATTTTTTCTTTGCTTAATGACAGTTGCTGACCTGTTTTTCTGTTTAAGGAACATACGCTACGGACTGTATCACTCACTCTTCGAATGGTTCCATCCACTCTATCTACTTGATAAGAAAAATGGCTTCAAAACACAGTATTTTGTCTATGGGAAAACAATGCCAGAGCTATACGAACTTGTGAACAGGTAAAAAACAGAAATGTTTTTGGCCTTATTACTTTTCTCAATGAAATCAGAGAAGTTGGGGGGAAAGGAGAAAAGGTGGAATATGAAAAAAATCTAGAGGACATCAGAATAATAAAAGTGGTGGCTGTATTGAGACAAAGAATATTTTTCCTCCTACTCTTCAGAGCTCCCGTAATGTGGTCATATTACCTTTATAAATTGAAGCACACAGGTCCCAGGTGGTAGTAATCAGAACTCCAGTTCCGTCCTTGCGGGCCACTTTCTCTGTCTGACCTTGGAGAGGCAACAGCGTCTAATGGGCCCTGGACCTGGCTGGGACTTGGCATCCGGCAGATTTGCCTTTGAATCGTGGCTCTCCTTACTTACAAGCCTTAACCAGATCACCCTTCTGAGCCTCAGAGTCTCACTATAAAGTGGGGAGAAGGATGCCTTCTTATGGGGCTCAGAGTAATATGTGAACAGTATCTGTCACCCTGCTGTACAGCATAAATGTTACTATTGTTACTAGAGGCCCAGTGCACGAAATTTGTGCAAGAGTGGGCCTTCCTTCCCCTGGCTGCCAGCACCAGCTTCCCTCTGGCACCCAAGACCTGGTTTTCCATCGCAGCCCCAGCTTTGTCCAGAAGGATGTCCGGTCTAATTAGCATATTATGCTTTTATTATTATAGATTCTTAAAATGACCACTTTCACTTTGGGATCTGTCTTCATCTTGTTTCATTCCTATTTGCCCTTCTCGCACTGTATTGCTTAAGAGGCAGCTGTCTCTGCCTGGACACTCATTTTAGGGGGACTTAGGAGGTGGGGATTCGGACCCTCCTTGCATCCAGATGACTTCTATTTTTTTCTTTTTAAAAAACTGCATTTGTATTGATTTCAGAGAGGATGGGAGAGGGCGAGACATAGAAACATCAGTGATGAGAGAGAATCATTGATCGGCTGCCTCCTGCACACTCCCTATTAGGGATTGAGACTGCAACCCAGGAATGTACCCTGACAGGGAATAGAACCAGTGACTTCTCAGTGCATGGGT